GTATGTTTGGTTATAAGGGGAACCATGGAACCAGCACCAGTTGGTTCGGTGACCGACGTCATAGGCGAACGTGATTTATCACGTGAAGCTGTCATACATCGCGAGAGGTAGGCCGGAAGCGATGGTTAGTAAACTCCGCAGGAGCTCGAATGGGCGACGTAGGAGGGATGTGGGATGTTGTCGCAAGGGACCCACTCAGGCTTGTTGCATGCATGCAGACGGTGTGAGGCACCTCGTCGAGAGACATAAAAGGGCTGGGATGCCCGCCTCGTTTCTTTCCAACGTTCGAGAGAACTTTGCTTCTTGCTTTGCGTAAAGCACCTGGGACAGGTCCATTTTTTCTGTTTACAGTTGATGTGATCCTTGCATCCACACGCGTGGACGACTTGGTCTCGGGGAGAGACACCCTGCTTGGCAACCGGAAGACAGAAGTCTTTTCTTCCCGGGGAACGATTACTACGACAGTCTACAGACGCACGAGGGACGTGCTGTTCAAACAAGTGTTTGATCTTTGTGGAAGCCACCACCACGACGGCAGTGACGTCGGAAACATGACGACGAAGGAGGAATCAAGTGATTCTTTCCACGAGAGTGGAAGCACCACTCATTCGACCATGGGGGTTGGTCGTGACCGGCATGACGAGGTTACGTCGGCCGCATTTTGCCTGAGATACGCCCTGGGTGACCAGGAGTCTTGGTCCAAGGCCATGGGCTTCATCATACCTAGGGCACTGCCCTACAGCACGGCTGCATTCTACGCGGTGGGACGCGTTGTCGACATGACACGGGTCGTGGATGTTATCTTTATTACGCGAAGGTATCAGAAACCGAGCTATGTCTCCGATGCCAAGAGATGGGCAGGAAGAGGTGCGACCGGACAAATAATGAGTCTTGACTCGCCACGTGAGAGGGAAAAGCGAGAGACTTTTATCGACGACTGTCTAAGTCGGATGTTGGACACCCCGCATGAGCAGGTTGCGGGTTCCGTTGAGGACCTCAAAGTGGAATTGGGCGAGCTCTTGAAGCTTCGCAGGCGTTACCACAGGTACCGCGATCGCCGTCGCAAAGTACGGCCGCAGCCATTACCATCACCACCCCCACCATCACCTACACCTAGTGAGGTGTCTTCGCCCTGGATGCCTGATGTGGAGTCGCTGACGTCGGGAGACGCTTTGTTCGAGGAATCTTGCATGACAGAAGCCGAGTTGGATTTGCTTTGTCAGTTCATCGTTGATGACGTAGAGGACGGGATGGAAAACACCATGACGCTAGACTAGTTTCCTACTTTGGGTAGTCGCGATAGCCTCCCCCCACACCGTGATGTGACAACGAGACTTTGTAGTACAATAGAATAAAATGGCATCGAG